CCCACTGTGGGGTATTTATACATGCTCATGGCATGATTTTATCCATTTCATTCTGCACTTGCTTGCCCTTCCACCCCTCCCTTCCCCCTCAGTCTATTCCTTCTTCTCCACTCACCTTCCCTCTATCTTGGTGATATCAAAGCCCCCACCCCAGAGTTCCCCCTTACTTTGCTCTATCTTCTGCATATGAGCAAGACATTTAACCTTTCACTTTCTGAGTCTGGCTTATTTCACTTAGCAGAACAATCTCCTGTTTCATCCATTTACCAGCAAAGTCCACAGTTTCATTTTTTGTCATGACTTAGTAATTCTCCTCTGTGTATATAATGCCTTATTTTCTTAATCCATTTACCTGTTGATGTGTTCCTGGGCTACTTCCAAAACATGGCTCTTGTGAGTGATGCTGTTATCCACACTGATGCAGCAGCGTCATTATAGTATTCTGACTTTAGAGATAAGTAAATAGCAAGGCGTGGGATTGCTGAGTCACCTTGGGGTTCCATTAGTCTTTTGAGGAATCTCCATAGAACTTTCCAGAGTGGCTGTGCTAATTTGCAGTTCCACCCACGATGTTTGAGTGTACCCTTTCCCCCCATCCTCCACGGCATTCATTATTTGTGTTCTTGATGATTGTAATTCTGATGGAGTGAGATGAAATCTCAATGTCGTTTTGATTTGCATTTCCCTGATTGCTAGGGATGTTCAACAGTTTTTTCATGTATTTGTTGGCCATTTGCTTTTCTTCTTCTGAGAAGTGTCCATTTAGCAGTTTTGGTAAAATGGTTACTTTACTGGAAAGTGTCCATGTGTCAAGAGTGTGATGACACTTACATTTAGTTCCTCTGAAGCACCCTCTGCCTACACTTGTCACCAGGTGTGACCCAAGTTCATGCTCTCTGCTGGATCCCACAGTGTCACCAGAGTCCATGCTCAGTGAAGAACTTCTGTCCATGTCCTATCGTGGACCCGTGTTATGTCTGAGGGACAGCAGAGTCCAGCATCCATTGGACTATAGTGATCCCTGGGTGACCCCAGTCCAGCTCTGTGCTGCACTATGCTTGTTCCCAGTGGTAACCAAGTTCATGTTCTCTATATG